GACATAAGGGCATGACTGATAGAGTGGGACAAAGTGTCCGAGATGGTCCCCATAGCAGAATAAATGATTTAAGTCACTGACCTAGCCATAATAGCATCCAAGGAGGGAATGAAGCTCTTTTTTTTTTTTTAAGCTGATTTCAATTGCTCCTGTGAGGCTTCATCAACATTAGTCAAGCTAGAGTGTCTGGGTGAAACCTAAGGTGTAAGGTATCATTAGTTGCAGCTCCCAATTCCTTCTGTGACTGCATAGTATATAGCAAATGCACAGAAATACACAAAAAGGAATAAAAGTGGCAGAACAAAATATCAAGGGAGAGTTAGGAGAAGGAAACTCCTAAAGATCCCAAAGTGCAGGATAGGAATAAGTACAGTGCAGCTTAATAGCGCAGTCTATGCAGGGGTACTTCAACTGACCAAATATTATACACACCACTGGGACAATATGAAAAAGGCAAGCTCAGCAAGTGTTCCCTCAGGAATGGCTCCTGGGGAGCACTGGTGAGCTGCCCAGCTACTTAGCAGACCAAACGGTACACACCTGCCCCCAGAACCAGTGAAAATGTCCAGCAAATAAACCTCTGCAAAATTGCCAACTACAATATGGGCGCCGCGATGTGCGCATGTGCAAGCAGCGCTAGGCATGCCTAGAGCTACGAACCGGCGGGACCAAGGCAGCCTCAGAATGGAGTGGAAAGACTCAAGGAGAGCCACAGACAAGGAGGCTGCTAACCGCCCCAGAACGTTGGATTCTAAACTACCCTACTGAGTGAGTGCAGAAGGGTTGGAAGGGAGGAAAAGTTGGAATGAAGGGAAAACAAAAACAGCCAACAGTGCTCTCAACACAAGATAGTACTAAGCAAATGGAAACAAATAAATTTCAGTTTCATTTTCAATCACATGTTAAGTTTCTTTAAAAGTTTTTATCTCCTTCTCTGTAAATTGAACATTAACCCCCTAAGGACACTGGATGGAAGTTTGCCATCATTGCATTCCTCCCGTTAAAGACACAGGCCGGAAAATTGCCATCCAATGCTAAAATTAACCCCAGACTGCCACAATTGCGACAATTGAGGGGTTAATGTTCCTGTAGTGTGCCTTCCTGTCTGAGGCACACTACAGCAAGCAGTTTCACTTTCACAACCTATGTGATCACTCTGACTGGAAAGTGCAGGGAGACAGATCAGTCTGATCTGTCTCTCTCTGTGAAAAAAAAGTGTTAGTAATAAAATTCCACCCCCTCACCTCTTTCAAATAAAATTTAACCCCTTCCCTGCCCTTTGATCACTGTCTGCAATGATCAAAATATAGATCATAGTATTTCACTTTTTCATTTTTTTCTTTTAACCCCTGAGGGTTAACTTTTTTTTTTTAAACCCTCAAGGGCTACATTTATTTAGTTAGTTACTTAGATATTTGTAAAATGTTTATTTATTTAGCTAGGGTGGGTAAAAATTAGTGGGGAAACTGGGGGATTTACTGTTAGGCTAGTTAGGAGTTAAAAGTAAAAATAAAAGTTTTTAAAAGTTAAAAAAGTTTAAACAAAGTTTTAAAATAGAAAAAAGATTTTAAAAGTAAAAAAAAAGTTTTTAAAAGTAAAAAAAAGGTTTAAAAAAGGGAAAAAACACATATTACCTCTACACTTGGTACAGGCTAGCAAAAAAAATGATCCCACAAAGACACCGTGGGGTGTTTTATTTAGGAAATGATATGACTTGTGAAGTAATTGGAAAACACAAACTGCTAAAAAAATTCAAAAGTGGGACATGGACCCAGTGCAAAAATTCAAACTTAAATGGCTGTGTCTCAAATGCCCCTTCAACGTTGTCGTTTACCTGGTAAAGGTACATATGGGGGTATTGCTGTACTCAGATGACGTAGCTGAGCAACATGTGAAGTATTATACTGCCGTAGCACACATAAGGTTTGCAAAATATATATTACAAACTCATTGTGTGTGTCAAAAAGGCATAAAAAATGCTTATTAACACCACTACACTTTGTACAAGCTACTGGAAAAATGATTTCATGCTAAGGTTCAAAATATGCCTTTTGAAATACCTTTGGGTGTCTTCTTTAAGAAATGGTATGCCTTTGTGAGGTAGTTGAAATAATCAACCTACTAAAAAAACTCCAAAGTGGGGTACTGACACAGCGTAAAAATTCAAAGTTTGAAAAAAACCCTGCAATGGCTGTGTCTGAAATGTGCCCCTTCAACATCCACATATACCTGGCAAAGGTACATACAGGGGTATTGCAGTACTCAGACTACATAGCTGAGCAACATATAAAGTATTATAAAGCCGTAGCACGCATAAGGTTTGCAAAATATACAGTACAAATTCACTGTGTGTCAAAAAGGCAGAAAAAAATGCTTATTACCACTGCACTTGATACAAGCTAACACAAATATTATCCCACGTTAAGGTTCAAAATATGCCTTTTGAAATACCTTCGGGTGCCTTTTTTAAGAAATAGTATGCCTTTTTGTCGTAGTTGGAATAAGCAGCCTGCTAAAATATTTCAAAATAGAATATGGACCATCTATGAAAATTTACACTTAAAAATCTAAAATTAACAGGTCTCTTTTACAGCACTGTAACTTCACAAAATAGTGTCTAGGTAACTGAGCATACTTAAAGGGAATTTATGACAGTGGCACTTATCAAATGTACGAAATACCAAGCAAAAATGCAACATGTATGTAAAAAAAAAAAAAATTCTTACCACAAAATTTGAAATAAATTGTGAAAAAATGGTATAAGGTAAGGTATAATATATAAACAAACAGAAAGATAAGGGTACACCTAAAATATATAATAAAACATATAAAATATTTAAGAATGTTTTAAAATAATATAAAAATTTTTTTTTAAATATAGAAATATAAAAATAGTTTAAAGGAAGTAGTTGGCAGTAGTCCAAAACACTTATCAAAAGTACATAATGATAGGTTCCACTTGTAGAAACAGGGATTCTTGAGATGTAAAATGGAGTTGAGTCTTCGCAATTATATGCTTGAAATCCAGTGAAGTATATGTAGAAAAAGAAAGACAGAAACAGGACTCCAATGGCACAGTATAGAGATGAAAATTAATATAATAAAATAGTGAAAATAGTCTTACTCACACTTTTCAGAGCTAAAACCTAGCTCTGATATTGCACGCGTGAAGTGGAATAATCCCCACTCAAGGATATGCGGAGTAGTATTTGATTGGCGAATTTCTAGCTCAGATTCGGCGTCCGAATTAGTATTGTTTGACCCAGAAAAAAGGATAAGAATATAGTGCTCTCTGTTTTGTAATTAAAAGTTTAAACGAATATAAAATATATTACTCACATTATATAGAGCAGGCTTGTACTGCTCGGTGTGAACGCTTGGGTGGTATAATCCCTGTAACGGACCGTTTTGCACACAAGGGGTAAAAACCGTTTAGGCGATCGGCCCCCTTTCCAGAGATCCAGGCACAGCTACTGCAGAACACCAAAACTCCCGAACTGGATACAAAATAGCACTCCAACTCCCGAACTGGAACCTCCCAAATAGCTGCTAGCAGACGAACAGGAAAAGCAGACGAACAGCTTACACTCCTGGCAATCAGTCTCTAACAGCATACAGTGAATCCCCCCAAGAACGAGACAAGGCTCCGTGTTGAGGGTCAAGCAGTGGTCTGAGGTGCTGGCACACCCAGCCTGGTTTTTATTACAGTCTTGCAAATACAGGACCGCCCACAGGGAGGTATAAAACAACCAATCACATCACAGTTACATCCCACATATTCCCTCCCTTATCCTGAGAGGAAACTCAATTACACATACAGTTAAAACATACTTTCTACCCAACTTTCATAACTCTAAAACCATACATCACATTCACATAAAATTACATATTCACAATCAATCCATTCAGGGGAACAACATATTCAAAAATGGCATGTATCAGACCAGGGGTTCAAAAGTTAAGGGAAAGTCCTTTGTGACTAAATGAAGCATGGCTTTCAGGCCCAAACCAGTTTCAGAGTCTTCTATCCTGGAGATAAGTAATTCAATTATCTCCCAGGACAGACACAAGACTCCATTAAGCACATGGTTGCAAAAAGACACAAAACACTTTAAAATACATAAAGTCACATTTATACATAAAACACAGACCTTTCACATATCCCCAGATAGCTGGGATCTGAGTGCACATTATTAAGTGAATGGCGCTCAGACCACACGAATACAGTTTAATCGCCATGGAGCCAAAGTCTCTACAGTCAGTTTCATACAAATGGGCTCCATGGGATTGCTATCTGGGGTATAACACATTCAAACAAATCTACTGAACCCCAGGCAGAAAAGCACGAATACAGCTTTTCTGCAGGCAAAAATAAAGTCTTTTAAAAGGGGGCCATAGTCCAAAGGCAGCAGGCAAGCAACCAGGCTTCTCCAATGCAATGTGGCGAGATTGGTCTCGTCACATCTCTCCCCTTTTCCAAACAGACTAACAGGGTATCTGACCTCCTGCCGGTCAGTGCCCTTGTTAGTCCAGCAGAACATAATCAACAGCACAGCCCACCCACAATAAATGGTTACTACACCTGGGTAAAGGAGAAGCTTGTCCATGTCCAGGTGCCTCACCACGGCTGTGCTGGGTATGTGTACGCTGACTGGGTGGGTTGCTGCGTGGGCAGAGACCAGCGGCACTCTGCCCTGTTGCCAGCGCTACTGGGAGGGTAGCCTGGTTGAAGCCTGGTTGTTGGAGGGGGAGACCGACTGTCTCCCCTTTAACTACACCGCTCTGCTGCTAGAGACCGACTGTCTCCCCTTTAGACACACAGCTCTGCTGCTGGAGGCCGACTGTCTCCCCTTTTGTTGCACAGCTCTGCTGCCGGAGGGGGAGACCGACTGTCTCCCCTTTGGATACTCTAAGCTGTCGCTGGGGAGAGGGGGTAACAGGCTCCTCTCCCGATAGAACACTCTGCCGCTGGGGAAAGGAGACTGGGCTCTCTATTCCCTGCACATTACTGATCTGCAGCTGGGGAGAGGTGGTAGCAAGCTCCTCTCCCATACATACTTCCAGCCTCCATGGAGGGAGACCGACTGCCTCTCCTCCCAATACAGAGTCCTGCTGCTGGGGAAAGGAGACTGGGCTCTCTATTCCCTGCTGGATACTCTGCCGCTGGGGACTAGAGACTGGGCTCCCAATTCCCAACAAATAACACTGCCGCTGGGGAATGGAGACTGGGCTCCCAATTCCCGGCACATCACACTGCCGCTGAGGAATGGAGACTGGGCTCCCAATTCCCGGCACATCACACTGCTGCTGGGGAATGGAGACTGGGCTCCCAATTCCCAAAAAATCACGCTGCTGCTGGAGGGCAGGAACAACTACCTCTGCCCCCTGTAACTCAGCCTGCCGCTGGGGAGGGAGGACGCTGCTCTCCTCTCCCTGCACTTTACACTGCCTTCCCGGCATATCACTCTGCCGCTGGGGGGCAGGAACAACTACCTCTGCCCCCTGTAACTCAGCCTGCCGCTGGGGAGGGAGGACGCTGCTCTCCTCTCCCTGCACTTTACACTGCCGCTGGGAAATGGAGGCTGGGCTCCCAATTCCCAATACATCACACGGCCGCTGGGGAATGGAGGCTGGGCTCCCAATTCCCTGCAGGACCGGTGGAGAGACCTCGGTCCCATCTCTACCGGCCACCTGGGGTTCTTCCCAGAAAATATCCAGAATGTCTTCCCAGCTGAATGGGTCTGGAACTGGATCTGTCACCTTGCTGTCCTGCTGAATCTTCTCAATGGAGTGGAAGAGATCTCGGTAGTCCTGCTCCAGTTCCCACTCCAGGGTTGCTAGGTGAGCCAGGTCTTGCTCAATGTCGTGAGTGTCGTCCCAGTCATACCTGCTCTCCCTCCACTCCAAGAGATCACTGAACCGGGCTTGTGTAGGGCTCCCAAATTCAGGTTCTGAAAAAGCCTCCCATAACAAGCCAGGACCATCAAACTCCTCTCCCTCTGGCTTGTCATGCTCGGCTGTCCAGGGCAGGTACTGTGCCCCATACCACCAGAGCGCCTGGTAGACATCTTCCAGCCAAATCTCCTGCCATACCCGGTGCTCCAATTCCTTCACCCATTCATCCAGGGGCTGCTCTCCCAGGAAGGGCATCCGCATGGCCACTTGCTTCTGCAACCGCTGCTCTTCACTGGGGAGACTCTCACCCCGCTGGTACTGTACCTTATCCAGGGCCTGGTACCAGATGCCTTTCCTTAATGCATCCCGGCCATCCAGGTCCTCCTCCTCGTATGACACTGCTGGTTCCATGCTGTTGCTGTCAGGGTCGCTGTACTGGGACATGCGTTGCCCTCAAATTGTAAATCCACGGAATGGTGTCTCCTGTAGCTGTCCTGTAGTCCGTGGGAACGATCCCACCGCTGCCACCAATTGTAACGGACCGCTTTGCACACAAGGGGTAAAAACCGTTTAGGCGATCGGCCCCCTTTCCAGAGATGCAGGCACAGCTACTGCAGAACACCAAACTTCTGAACTGGATACAAAATAGCACTCCAACTCCCGAACTGGAACCTCCCAAATAGCTGCTAGCAGACGAACAGGAAAAGCAGACTAACAGCTTATACTCCTGGCAATCAGTCTCTAACAGCATACAGTGAATCCCCCCAAGAACGAGACAAGGCTCCGTGTTGAGGGTCAAGCAGTGGTCTGAGGTGCTGGCACACCCAGCCTGGTTTTTATTACAGTCTTGCAAATACAGGACCGCCCACAGGGAGGTATAAAACAACCAATCACATCACAGTTACATCCCACATATTCCCTCCCCTTATCCTGAAAGGAAACTCAATTATACATACAGTTAAAACATACTTTCTACCCAACTTTCATAACTCTAAAACCATACATCACATTCACATAAAATTACATATTCACAATCAATCCATTCAGGGGAACAACATATTCAAAAATGGCACAAATCAGACAAGGGGTTCAAAAGTTAGTAAAAAGTCCTTTGTGACTAAATGAAGCATGGCTTTCTAGCCCAAACCAGTTTCAGAGTCTTCTATCCTGGAGATAAGTAATTCAATTATCTCCCAGGATAGACACAGACTCCATTAAGCACATGGTTGCAAAAAGACACGAAACACTTTAAAATACATAAAGTCACCTTTACACATAACACACAGACATTTCACATATCCCCAGATAGCTGGGATCTGAGTGCACATTATTAAGTGAATGGCGCTCAGACCACACAAATACAGTTTAATCGCCATGGAGCCAAAGTCTTTACAGTCAGTTTCATACAAATGGGCTCCATGGGATTCCTATCTGGGGTATAACACATTCAAACAAATCTACCGAACCCCAGGCAGAAAAGCACGAATACAGCTTTTCTGCAGGCAAAAACAAAGTCTTTTAAAAGGGGGCCATAGTCCAAAGGCAGCAGGCAAGCAACCAGGCTTCTCCAATGCAATGTGGCGAGATTGGTCTCGTCACAATCCCCACCTATGGATTCTTTAGGCTTCTTGTAGAATATGCAGTATATGTATAGTCAGGTGAAAAAGAAAGAAAATGGCAGTAAAGTGTTTTATGACAAAATAATTTCTTTATTATAAAGTAGTAAAAATAATATCTAAACGCGTTTCGCCTCAAGGGCTACTTCAAGTAGATAATAGTAAAAAATATATATTATATATATAACTATAATATATGCCTACAAAGATACCCTGGAGTGTATGCTTTCTCAAATGGAAGGCCTTTGTCGGGTTATTTGAACATTCAAACTGCTATAATGCTACAAAATCAGACATAGGACCATTGTCACGGCTGCTAGTGTGGTCCAACACACAGAAACTATGTAAACCTATACAAAGAAATAAGAAAGGAAATAAAAGGATAGAACGTAAACCAGACCTTAGAATGGCCGGACTAATACGTTGGAGACTGAGAATGGTGAAAGGGAAAGCTGAGGTCAAGGAAGCCAGAAATACACAATATCGTTTCAACAAGCCAAGTCAGGGGAACCAGAAATCAGAAAAACTAGGAATAGCCAAGATCAGAATACCAGAATATCAATATCACAGGGAAAAACGCACTCTCAGGAAACCAAGAACGAGAAACCATGACAGGGCAAGGTACTGGGGTGAATTAGGGATTTAAATATCCCTCTCTAGGCTCTGATTGGTCAGAGGGTGACCTCTGACCCCAGAACGTGTGCGTGCGTTGACGTCGTGATGTCACGTGCACGTTCGTATAATTTTGGGGGCTGGAGCCATGGATGGACGCGACCTCATGGTCAGCGCCTTCTTCGATTTCCCGAGCAGCGCGGAGGAGCGGTTCCCGGCTCGCCGCTGAACAGGTAAGCTCAGTGAGTTGGTGCGGTCGTGCCGGTCGGGCACGGACCCACATGGGGGCGAGCCGGGGGCCGTGACAGTACCCCCCACTCAAAGACTGCTCACCGGGCGGGAAGGAGCCGGCTTGCGAAGGAAAACGGTTGTGAAACGACCGGACAAGACGGGGAGCATGAACCCGGTCCGCAAGAACCCAACTACGTTCCTCCAGGCCATATCCCTTCCAGTCAACCAGATAAGACAGAACACCTCTAGAGAACTTGGAGTCTAAAATAGTTTGGACTTCGCACTCCTCTTGATCACCTACTACCAAGGGCGGAGGAGGAACAATCATTTTTGTGTATCGATTGCAAGTGAGGGGCTTAAGAAATGATACATGGAAGGAATTAGCAATTCTCATATGAGCAGGGAGTGCCAATGAATAAGTCACAGGGTCTATACGACGGAGGACACGATATGAATCGAGGATCTAGTTTCATGGAAGGAACCTTTAGTTTGATATGACGTATGGACAACCAAACCCTGTCCCACACTTGATAAACAGGATTGGCACCCCGTTTCTTATCAGCTTGAACTTTAGTACGTTTAGAGGCATTCTGTAATGCTGAATGAACAGAATCCCAAGTGTCTTGGATAGAAGTCAAACGGGTGTTTAATGCAGGAATATCAGTGCCCAAAAATGCAGGAGGTAAAATAGTGGGGTGATAACCTTGATTTACAAAAAATGGACTCTGACTCGAGGATTTGTGAGTCGCATTATTTCTGGCAAATTCAGCCATGGGTAAGAGTTCGAACCAATTGGACTGATTGGCATCGATAAAGCAACGCAAATAGGATTCTAAAGATTGATAGGCTCTTTCTGTGGCGCCATTAGTCTGAGGGTGGTACGAAGAGGAAAATGAAAGTTCTATGCCCTACTGTTTACAGAAGGCACGCCAGAACCTAGAGATAAATTGGGTAACTCTGTCAGAAACAATGTTTTTTGGTACTCCGTGTAAACGAAAGATTTCCTTTATGGAAATTTGGACTAGATCTTGAGCAGATGGCAATTTTTTAAGTAAGGTATAAAATGTGGCATCTTTGAAAATCTATCTACAACCATGAGAATGGTGTTATGCCCCTTAGAACTAGGAAGTTCCACAATCAGATCCATGGCTAAATGGGTCCATGGAGCATCAGGTATCGGAAGTGGCTGTAGCAACCCAGGGTGAGATCGATGAGATGTTTTAGAAACCGCACATATTTGACATGCCCCTACATAGTCTTTAATGTCACCTCTGAGTGTAGGCCACCAAAATTTTCTGGAAATAGCAGAGAGAGTTTTATGTATTCCAGGATGTCCTGCTGTCAGATTATCATGAAATACTCCAAATACTTTCTTCCTTAATAAGTGTGAAACATACAGTTTGTCCTAAGGTTTCCCCACAGGTGCCTGAGTTTGATCTGCTATTATGGCACCAAAGAGTGGAGAAGACATTTCAGTAACTGTAGTAGCAATAAGACATTCTGGAGGTACGATCGGGGATACCTCTTGTTCAGGGGCTTCATCTGTCTCAAACTGTCTAGAGAGTGCATCTGCCTTGGTATTCTTTGTCCAGGGCCTGTATGTAATTATAAAATTAAACCGGGAGAGGAATAATGACCATCTAGCCTGTCGGGAGGAGAATCTCTTAGCATCCCCAATATAAGCCAATTTTTTATGATCGGTAAAAATCAAAAGTGGCTCTTTGGAACCTTCCAAAAGATGCCTCCATTCCTTAAGGGTGAGAACAATGGCCAGTAATTCCCTATTCCCGATGTCATAATTTCTCTCTGCTGGAGTTAATTTTCGAGAAAAAAAGCCACAGGGATGTAAAGGCGCATCAGGACTCTCTCTTTGAGACAGAATGGCTCCTAC